GGACATGGCCGCAGGAGGAAAATTGATGACAAATCAGAGACGAATAATCCGAATGGTAAAACGAGCCCAGAAAACCTTCTAAAGAGATAGATCCAAGGTAAACTTTAAGCTCAAGAAACATCAGTGTCAGATTGCACCATTCGTCATTAGAGCAACATGACCACCACGGTGAAGTCACTTGTAAACAACCTAAGGCTCCCAGATGCCGCCTGAGCTTTGTGGCAAATTGGGGGCACTGTTTTATAAAAGAGGCTTTAATAAAGTGGATCTGACATATACTGGTGCTGGAGTCTGCTTCTAGCATATTTCCTGCATGTTTTATATCTTCAACACACCTGATTTCAATCAGTAGATGATTAACAGGCTTCTGCAGAGCCAGATGAGCTGCTGCACAGGTGAATTAACCACTGAATCAAGCTTGTTTGAGCAGAGAAACCACTAAAACGTGCTGGATACCGGCCCTCAAAGCTCGGAATTGAGTAGCCCTGCTCTAGGGGCTGCTAAAAGCAAGCCAAAACTGCATAGTTTCTCTTTAAAAAAAATGTCAGCATGTGTTGGAGAGGGTGATGGTCAACAGTGTCAAAGGATGCAGTCAGATCCAGTAGAACCAAAACAAGACTCTCCTACATCACTTTGAGTCAGAAGGTCTGCTCCTCTTAAAAGAAACTACTCTTAAGAAGAGCTGTTTCAGTAGAGTGAGCTCTACGATAACCTGACTGGAAACTGTCACAGATGTTATATTCATCAAGAGCAACTGCGAGTTGTTTAGCCACAACCTTTTCTACTCCGAGCCCGTCACAGATGACCGAGTCTCACCCTATCTATGGGAGAGCCCAGCCACCCTGCGGAGAAAACTAATTTTGGTCGCTTGTATCTGTGACATAATTCTTTCGGTCACTACCCAAACCTTGTGACAATAGGTGATGGTTGGAACATAGATCGACTGGTAAATCAATAGCTTCGCCTTTTGGATCATCTCTCTCTTCACCACGGCAGATCGATACAACGCCTGCATCACTGAGGACACAGCACCATTCCACCTGTTGATCTCATATTTCCCTCACTCGTGAACAAGCCCCTGAGATACTTGTCCTGCCCCAAGTGGAGGAGTTTATCATCCCCGACCCTGGAAAGGCATTCTACCCTTTTCCGCCTCAACACCATGGTTTCGGATTTGAAGGAGCTGATTCTCGTCCCAGCTGCTTTACTCTCTGCTGCGAACCGCTCCAGTGACAGCTGGATATCATGTTCTGATGAAGCCAACAGGACCACATCATCTGCAAAAAGCAAAGACTCAATTCTTGGGCCACCAAAATGCATCCCTTCAACACCTTGGCTGCACCTAGAAATCCTGTCCGTAAAAGTTATGAACCGAATCGGTGACAAAGGGCAGCCCTTTTCTGTCTAATTAATGCAGTACAAAGGGTAGCCTTGGCGGAGTCCAACTCTCACCAGAAACGAGCTCGACTTACTGCCTGCAATGCGGACTAAGCTCTGGCACCGGTCATATAGGGACCGAACAGCCCATATCAGAGGGCTTGGTACCCCAAACTTCTAAAGTACCCCCCAAAGGGCCTCCTTAAGGATGCTGTTGAACAAGGTTCAATAATCTGTCGGACTCTCTTCTCCAGAACCCCTGAATAGACTTTACCAGGGAGGCTGAGAACTGTGATCCCCCCTCTAGTGTGAACACATCCGTTACCCCCTTTTAAACAGGGGGACCACCACCTCAGTCTGCCAATCCAGTGGAATTGCCCCTGACCTGTCAGGACCTGTCCCCCACACGTAGGTGGAGGGAGACTACCCTCTCATTCCCCGGGGTAAACCCCAATGCATAAGCACCAAGATGGAGGGTAACTAGTATGCCCATCCCTTCTTGGCGCCTCTCAGTGGGGGCAGCCCCTCTCAAGGAAACTGTTTCTGGAGCCAGAGCCATGTGTTGATGAGTCTGACTATATCTGGTCGGAAACTCAACCTCGCACACCAACTCAGGCTCCACCCCCACCAGAGAGGTTACATTTCACGTACTGAGAGCCAGCTTCTGTAGCTGAGGATCAGACTTCCAAGGTATGATCCAAGGTCCTCGTTTTCAGTTACCACCCATCATACATTGCACCCAATCCCTTTGGTCTCCCCCACGAGTGGTGAGCCCATGGGAAGAGGGACCCACATTTCCTCTTCAGGATGTGCCCGGCTGGGATCCATGGGTGAAAGCCCAGCCACTAGGTGCTCGCCGGCGTGCCCCACCTCCAGGCCTGGCTCCAGAGGAGGGCCTCGGTGACCTGCGTCCACGCAAGGAAAAACTGTTTCCATTTACATTTGTCGTCATAAGAGGTCTGTGGACTGTTTTGTCTGATCTCTCACCTAGGACGTGTTTGCCGTGGGTGACCTTACCAGAGGCATAAAGCCTCAGACAACTTAGCTCCAAGGATCATTGGGATTCTCAGTAAGGTGACAGCCCAGAGAGTTGGATCAGGCAGAGGTAAAGCTGAAGGAGAAATGCTAGATCTGACTATGACTTCATCCACAAAGAAAAGAAGGAAGTTTTCACGTTCTCCATCAGAGTGAATGGAAGCTGTAGGTGAAGCAGGAGAAACAATGCTGCTAATGTGGTAAACAACACTTAGCTCTGGGACACCAGGTTGGAGAAATATGCAACCCTCACGTCTCTGAGTGAAGAGTTACAGGGGGTCAGAAAATCCTTAAGGTGCAGCAGATGGACGTGGAGACGGGTTTTCTTTCATAAGCGCTCAATATTTCTGCACTAGCGCTTAAGGCTGCGAATGCTGTCAGGAAATTGGGTTCACTGCAGGAACTGATCAGGTTCTTATAGAACAGATGTTGTCCAGAATGGAGAGGCAGTGCTTGTTAAAGTGAGTCGTAAAGGAATCTGTGTCGTTATCAGAGGGTAAAGGTGAATTGAAAACAGCAAGAGCTGTGCTCTCATTAAGAAAATAAGAACTCATCAAATGGCGAGCAGGAGGTGGGGACGCTCATGGCAAAGTGGTCTGAGGCAGTGATGGGAATAACGCCGTTTGAAATAACAGTGTTACTAACGGCATTCTTTTTTTGGGTAACGGAATAATATAATTAATTACTGTTCCCACTGTTGCAACACTGTTACCGTTACTGGGGATGGAAGAGACCATTTAAAGGCTCAGGAACCTTTACAGGTGTTTCTATTTGCAATTTTAAATTTTAGCTGATTGGGGTCTTGTTAAATGCCACACAGTGACCTTTTAATAGTCTAGATAAGTTTAATGTTCCTGTTAGTAGTTCCTCCTGTTAAGTGCTTATTTATTTAAATTATTCAGGTTTATAAAAAAACATTTGGACATACATTTTATTATGTATGTACATTAGTCATTTATATTTCAGTATTGTAGTAATTTATAGTAAATTAAGTAAGTTCAATTAACCCATTTTTCTTGCATTCTTTAATGAAAAAAGTAACTAAGTAGTTATTTTTCTTGGTAATTAGTTACTTTTATAATCTCGTAACTCAGTTAGTAACTGAGTTACTTTTTTGACAAAGTAATTAGTAACTATAACTAGTTACTTTTTTAAGTAACTTTCCCAACACTGCTCTGAGGCATCAATGTGAATGTTAAAATCACCAACAATCATCAGTCTAGAGAGTTTCCCAGTGGAGGATAAAAGTCACTAAACTCCTGAAGGAAAGAACTGTTTGGACCAGGTGAATGATAAACCACAACACAGTAAAACAGGTCCTTACGCCTGACTTTAATCAGCTGCAGTTCAAAGGAAGAAAAGCAACCAGAGGTTGTAGGGCTAAAAGAAAATTGCTCAATGACAACAGTTGCTTGCCCTCCACCTTGACCAGAGGTCCTTCTTCAATCAGACCAGAATAATCAGGTGGTTGTTGCCAAACTTAAATCAAAAATAGAAAATACAGTTTTTTAGACCATTAAGATGGAAGGACCTATTGTTAATGGAGCGGGTATTTAATAATGCCATGCTGGGTGAGGGGGAGAAATTGGAAACTGCAGAAATAGCTGGAGTTGGTGGATGTAAGTTAGCAGAATTTGCTTCACTGTGATTTTAAAGTCCACTTATGGAGGGGACAGGAAGAGAACTGAAGAAAGAGGATAAACAGACCTGAGGTAACGTGGGTGGAGAAACTGCGCTGCCCGGCGGGAAAGCAGAAGTAGAGTTAACATCCGCAAACAAAGGATATCAAGCTGATGTTTACTAGCTAAACCACGCTCTAAGAGAAGCCATATTCTCACCGGGATTCCTGCTCCTTTCCCCTTTTCTTCCAGTCAAATTTTCTCCAGGATCGGAAAAACATCAACATACGCGCTTGGCTCGGGTCCAGCACCCAGTGAAAGTATATAAAATGGAAGGTGAATCCATAGCGTGTCTTGGCCAATCACAGACAATCGGAAGGGTCACAGGGCCTTGCACTTTTCAGCACTTTCCAATGTCTAAAAGAATTCAGATTAGTCATTCAAACTTTTCCCAGCTTAATCTAGAATAATCTAGTGATATGAATTTCTTAATTATAGAATAATTTAATTTGTATTTAATTATTAATTTAGATTCAGAAGTTGTTTGGGAGATTTTGGCAAATTAACAGTGAATAATAGGAGGATAAACTTTGAACAAGGTTTCAGCAAGAAAAGGATGAAATCTGGGATCTGTTGCAGCCTGAAATGCAGGAAAGAATTTAAATAAATAAAAACCGAAGAGACAACTTAAAATAAGTTCTTGCATTCATAGAAATGAAAATCTCTCATCAGTTTTTCGTTTTGAGTTTATAAATCTTTGGTTTATCTGATGTGACTTTTCCACCCTGCTGGTGTCGAACATGCTGTCTTTACTTAGAACCTTCTCAGATGCTAAAGTTTATGTTGCCATAAAACTAAACGACACTAAAATCAAACCTCAACGTTTTCTCATCATACTTGTGTGATACTCATGCTGGGCAACGTTGGACTTCCTGTCTGGGTTATAACGTGTGTCCTGGTTGTCCTCAGCAGCGTTGCCGTCTCACCCAGCAGCCAGAGGAACCCAGTGGCTTCCACCCACAGCATCTCCAACACCACCACGCCCGATCGCCTCCGCTTCCCCCGCGGCACCGCCAGCCGCAGCACCTTCCACGGCGACCAGCTGAGAGACCGCCGCACGGCCACTTACAATGGTCCACCGGCCTCCCCCACCCTCTCCCACGATGCCACCCCTCTCTCCCAAACCCGCAGTCGTGGAACCAGCAACCTCTTCTCCAAACTCACATCCAAACTCACCCGCAGGTAGGCGAGGACTCATCAGATTAACTCAGGCTGGAGTTTGTCTTTGAATGAATGTCCCGACTGATAGAGGAGGCCGTTACTTGTTGCGTCTCATTGTCCTGTTTGATGTGATTCCCTTTAAAGTTGACTCTGCTGCTGCCTGGTTGCCTTCCAGAGAAACCCAACCAGACTGAAGAGCTGCTAATTAAACAAACATTCATTATGTGTTTTAAACAAATTTATATTTAATCTAGTCTTCTGTTCAGTCTCTTGACCTTCAACATTTTACAACTAAGGCTGAACAAGGTGGATCCCAGATAATTCGGTCCCCTTTTTATTAGTCTAGTTTATTTTAATTGTTGTTTTAAACTAGACGGCTACATGGAGAAGGCCTGGACTAGTAAAGCACTTTAGTGATCCAACCCACCAGTCACTTCCTGGTGTTTGAGTCACATGACAGCTTGTGCTCACAGCCATGGCTCACTTTAGTATTCTTTGTTCTGTTGTTTGCTAGGATAATCACACATACACACTCCACCTCAAAGACTTGAATAGAAAACCTTAAAATGGCTTGTATTACATTCATTACCTTTAATATTCTAGAAGCTTATCGAGCTTCGGGCTCCGCGTCTGTTTGAAGTTTCTCTCTAAGGGGATGGATCTTTTTGGAAGCACTGCCAGAATTAACCTGTTGAATGATACTCAGCCCTGTTGTCAGGAATAGGGTTGTCACGGTGTGAAGACTTAACCTCACGGTTATTGTGACCAAAATTACCACGGTTTTCGGTATTATCGCGGTATTTTTTTTAAACGTGCTACATTTTCACACAATTAAATAAACCCTGTATGTCAGGAAATATTGTCCTCAGTTTGTGTCTAAATTTTGCCTAAAATGTGTTATTTTGTAATTATGTTGTTTATTTGTTTACGTTTTTTCCCTTTAGTTTTTAAAATACCAATATTTGCCCATAACTTCTTATTTTATGTCTGTTTGATGTCATCATTTTAAAAATATTAGATCAGATGATACTCAGTACTCAAGTAGCCTTCTAATCAGATACTTTTTTACCCTTACTTGAGTAATAAACCCTATATCAGGAAAATATTGTCCTCGGTTTGTGTCCTTCCAGTGAGCTTTGCAGATGTGGGAAAATGTCATCAGGCAGTAATCATTGTTAAATTCATAATTATTCTCGGAGAGAGACCAACTCTTATCTGCCCCTGGGAGCCCCGTAATGCATAGCGTCATTTCAACATGGCGGTGTCAGCGACACGGTTTATATGCAGGTAGCGGCGCTGCGGCTGCTTTATATAGCGACTCGTTGCATTCTCCCTCAACCCAAATCCTCGGATCACGCATTTTAGCTAAAACGCTAACGTTAGCTTGCCTTGCGTTGGCTGTAGAGTTGTGGGTGATGGTCACGCAGATGTGTCATGAGATCTGAAGCGTTGCTGCCTTTCACAGACACTTTTTCTGCACGTGCTGCAAACAGGATAGCCGTCTTCTATCAACTCCCTCGGCATTCTTCAAATATCTAAAAGATGCCCGTACTTCCCACTTTGTCTTCTTTGAGGATAATAAATGTCCTCCTGAGCACTGCCGTCTCCTCCTTTGGCCATTATTTCAGCTTTAGCTTCAAGAAAGTTTTGGCTGTAAACAACAAAGCGTGCATGTGCCGCCGGCAACTTCAGCAGATGATACGGTGGCTGGTAAGGGTCACCGCGCCTACACCGCAGCCACGGTAATCTACCGAGATAATATAGTTTTTTAAAAAACATGACGGTTATTATTATTGTCAACTTTTTTTACCAGGGTTTACCGCTACACCGGTTACCGTGGCAACCCTAGTCAGGAATGGTGTCGGAGTGGCTGTTGGAGTTGGAATGTGGGGGATAGGTGTTCAGCTGTGGCCAGCAGTTTGAGAAGTCACACAGGTTTTGCTGCTTCAGTGTTTTTAAGTCTTTCTGTCAGATGTTGCTTTGGCAACATTAGCTGCAGAGGCTTTTATTGAATTTTCATTAATAGTGAGTCAGTATGTATTGTGTTCTTCTTTAAAAACCTCTAATTTACCCTGGCATGCTGTCAGTCAGATTCAAGATCAGTTCATCTGGACCCAACATGCTGATGTGTAGATCCTGGTCCCCTTTGGGCCTTTTCCACCACCCAAACTGGCATGGAATGGGACGGATCGGGTCGCTAATTTTTCTGTTCCGATTGTAAAACCGATTCAGACAACTGACTCGGACCACTTCAGTCGTGGGACCTTTTGGGCTCGTAGGCCCAGAAAATCCTGGAGCGGTACAGTTAGGGTGGAGCAACAACACAGTCCACAGAAACATGTGACTACTTCAAAAAACGTAAACAAACGTGTTCCGTTGTTTGTATTTTCGTTAGCTGTACATAACCGTGAAAAACTTGCAGCAAGTTTTGGTCACCTTCAGAGTTCCATACATTTCTCACCTTCATCATGAGAGTCCACAGGAGGAGCTAGACGGATCGGTAGTTTTTTTCTCAGCAGATGGCAGCCGAAGGCTCAAAGCAGACGTCGGCTCAGTGTTGGGCCAAGGTGAAGAAATTAAAGCCCAATATAGTTAATAGTTAAGGACAGAAACAGCCGGAGTGGATATTTTTTCGGATGGGAGAAATACACGGAGTTGCTACGACGCGCTGGATGCTATTTATTATCGAGGCAGAGGGGCAGACTTCTGGACTTGGCGACTGCACTCTGGAGTCACATGTGGAGGCTGTGGTAAGCATTTTGTTTTTGTCTTTAGCTCTGTAGACCAGTTATTGCTGCACAGACATACTGAATAGTTTCACAACTTTTAAAATCTAGCATGATTGTTCGTCTAACCCCGCCTGTCGACGTGATGGCCCAAACTCCGATCAAAGCGCTTGTCTGAAGACTCTAGACCTATCCTAAAACATACCGGTCCTAAAATAACCAGACTGGACCGTTCCAGACCTGGCGATGGAAAAGAGCTGTAGTTCTGACTTCAGCCTTCTGGCCTGGTACTGCATCATGCTGAGGAAGACATTAGTCATCACCAAACTGGTGTTGGGTGGTTGGAGGAATTCCTCTGGGAGGATTTTTTGGTACTATTCATTGCCCATGGCTGTTTAGAGGCTAAACTGTGAGTGAATCCCCTCCCCTGACTACGAAACACACACACACACACACTGTCACAAGATGCTTTACTGTCAGGAGTTATGTGAATCGTCGTCATTAAGACTAAAGCAGCAAACTTTGTGTGAAATAAAATGTGTATTCCTCTAATTTTGTGTCGCAGTTGTTCAGCAGCATCAGTCGTTCTCCACTCTCGACCTTCTGGAGAACACTGTTGTCACCAAACCTCACAGATCAGATTCTAACTCAGGACAACAAAATGTTCTAATATCAGAAATCCAGATTTCATCCTTTTGGACCTTTCCAGACTTTCGTCCTAATGGCCTAAACGGATGTTTCCCAAGGCTCGTCGTGTTTTGAGTTTAAGTGTTCAGATTTTAACATAATTAACCCCGTTTAAATTAAAGATTAACAACATGACTAGTTGGAAATAATGATGATGATGATGTATCCTGCCAATTGATGAAGTGGAAAATTAAGCAATGCAGTATTGAAAACAGTTTATGAGTGGTTAATATTTAATGAGGTTTTTATTTGTTCGGACATGTAAGGTTGTGTTGTGAGTTTACCTTGACATGTTTCGACCGGTGACTGCTGTCTTCGTCAGAAGTGTCACATGTTCATCAAGTGTCATGTTCTTGATGACAGCTGAAACAACGTTCAAAGAACGGTTCGGAGGGCTATGCCTGAGCGTGAACGCGCATGAAGCAGCCTGCTCGACCCGAGCATCTCTCTTTTTCTGTGATTTTACAGAAAAATAGGCAATCACAGTAAAAATGCCAGGGCTCATTCTACAGGACCAGGGCATTGCAGGAGGATGTATGAAGAAGACATTTATTATTTCTATACATGTTTTGGCTGTCACACTTCCATAATGTCCCTTTAAATATTTAGGAAGAGGACATAATGACCGTTGTGAAGTGAGTGGTTAATAGTTGATTAGTTCATTGTGGTAGTTCTTAATTTTATTTGTAAAGGTCTTACTCAGTCCTGAAAAGTTATCAAATTTTATTTTGAGATCCCTGCATTTACCCGGTTTTTCTACATAACCTTTATCTGCTCTTGACTCAAAGAAAAGCCCAGGTCTAAATAGTCCAGAGTTGATGCCAAAGCCGTTTCAAACAAGCCGCCGCCATCTTTGTCATATCTCTCAGTCAAAGTAACATCCCGCCCACCAAAGTGATACAGCACTGTGATTGGCCCACAAGACAGAGCGCTGTGATTCGTTCACCAGACTGATATGGGCCATTCCCATCTGTACCAGGTCGGCCCGGGCTGGGTAGCCCCAGTCGGCCCCAGCCTGGCCCGGTTGATTCCACACATTCTTGCCTTAAGCCCATGTGGGCTGATTCTACCCACCAATCAGAGGCTTGCTCTAATGGAAGGTGTGAATTTGCTGTCAGCAGTGGGTGTGTTGGCCCTGGTCGGCCTGAAGCAGACCCCCTCGAGAAGAGGGCTGAGAATGAGCCTTGGTTGGCCCGGAAAGATACCAGGCCACCCAGATATGTAAACAACCTACGCTACCCGGCCCGGGCCGACCCGGTACAGATGGGGTACAGATGGGAATGGCTCAATAGAGCGCTGTGATTGGCCCCCGTCAGACCGATAGAGCGCTGCGATTGGCTAGATACAAGACTGTTAGGGCTTGCTGAGACTCTTATGTAGCGTGGCTAGACCGACCTGCAGAGCAGTATTCTTTAGCCCTTCTGATACGTCTGTCTACATTTCCAGGCTAAGTAAACACCTATCAACTGTCCGTGGCATCACTCTGGTTCAGCTTTTCACACGATGAAGCTCATTAAACTACAAAGTCTAGACCAAGGAGGGGTTGGAGCTGATGGTGTTGGGTGTGTTTTGGCAGTGCATCAGAAAAGTTCTGGCAGCAGCAGCAGCCAGTCATGTCGCTACTGACCTCCAGTCATTCTGTGTGCATAGAAGACTTTCACTGCTGATGATTCCAATCAGCCTATTATGTTCATGTGTTCACATTCACCCTCTGTCCACTTGTCCCCTCTGCCATCTATTTTACTGTCTCTCTGTCTGATTCTGTTGTAGAAACATGTCATTCAGGTTTACCAAAAGGTAGGACTTGTGTTCCCCTCCACAAAAACCAAAATAACAATCATAACAGGAATGCATCTGTGTGATGAGCGGGGCTGTTGACTTCCACTAACACTGCTGATCTGTGGGAGCATCCACACACACCTGCTACAGCCACGGGACACCTCCGGGCTTCATTACGACGACTCCTGGTACCTTCACAAGCCATTCTGTCAGGTGTTTCAGATTATTCTGAAGCTACCAGCTCTTACCTACCTTATTCCCGGGCCTGCTCATGTTAAATCGATGATGTGAGCAACATCTGGTGAGAAACCAGACGTGGCGCATAGCTATTGGTTTGCACGATGAGGTTTCGTAGCAGTTTATTTCAACCTTTCAAGACGATTTAAAAAATGATTTGTCCCCAAAAATGTACTTGTGAAGCTCGGGAACATGTTTGTGACTCAAACGAGTTATGGTGGGTTAGGGGAACTTTTCTTTAAAGAGATATTCCACCCTAAGTCAAATTAAGTCTGTTGCTATATTCCTCAGAGTTAAAAGGGGGAAAAGCTTTTTGTAACCAGCCTTGTGTGTGTGTGTGTGTGTGTGTGTGTGTGTGTGTGTGTGTGTGTGTGTGTGTGTGTGTGTGTGTGTGTGTGTGTGTGTGTGTGTGTGTGTGTGTGTGTGTGTGTGTGTGTGTGTGTGTGTGTGTGTGTGTGTGTGTGTGTGTGTGTGTGTGTGTGTGTGTGCGCGCGCGTGTGTGTGTGTGTGTATGTGTGTGTTCTCCATCCCCAGTGAGTCGTGGAGGATGGCTGCTTATACTGAGGTTTCTTCCTGTTAAAAGGGAGTTTTCCTCTCCACTGTCGCCGCATGCTTGCTTAGTATGACCCCGGTTTCACACTGGAAGCTTCAGCGGCGCGGAACGGCACTGCTTCAAATAGAATCCATTATAGTCTATAGACTGTTTCAGACCAGCAGCGACGTGGCAATTTCCAGGCGTCCCAGAAGGATTGTGTTCTATTTTTGCCGCATGCCGCTTCTGAGACATGTTAACATACAGCTAGACAGGAAATCACACACAGTTTCAGTGTAAAATCCCTGGTAATTTTCAAAATAAAAGTACAGCAGCAATGCAATGTCATATATATGAAGCTTATGTGTGACCCAACTGCTTATTTACTCCCAGCATCGTCCCAGAAGTGCAGCAGTTTGTTTTCATGGCTTTAACCCTGGCAGTGGAGAGGAACAACATCATATATGATATCAAACGTGATTTCCTTTTTGGTTTAATGGCGGATTGCATAAACAAACCATGACCTGAAGGCTCGAGGGATCTTGTGATCTTGTGAGTCCAGCGAAGAGCACAGCGAGGAAGCTGTGCCGCTGCCAAGACCCTCCCGGTGTGAAAAGGACCGCTTTGAAGTTGGCGAGTGAGCCAGTCTGCTGCCGTTTTGCTTCCAGTGTGAAACCGGGGTGAGGATTGCTGCAAAGTCTCTTGACACAACAAGATGCAATCTGCTGGGCTCCTTACATAGAAAACTTTTAGCTAAGCTGCATGAAGAACTGGACTTCACCATGAATGGAATGCTTACTGTGAGACGGGTCCTGAGGTGACTCTTGTTGTATTTTGGCGCTATGTAAATGCATTCAAATTAATGATTGAAATGCTAGCTGTTACCATTTACTTACATTTTTATGCTAAGCTAAAGCTAACAGAATACTACCAGTATAGAATGATGACTGGGCTGGTTACAAAATGACCCTCTGTTAGTAGATGATGGCTCATCATCTTCAGGGCCTCGGGTGGGTAGCATCATATTCATAAACCCTCGTAACTGTGTCTTTGGGAGGGGTAACAGGTGTGTGTGTAAATGCACTTAGCGTGGTTGGTCTGAGAAGCTGAAGGTTGATTCAACGATCAGTCGATACACCAACAGCAACAACAAAGCAGCTTTCACTAATCAGTCGCGGCTGCATGCATGCTCTGGCTTTCATGGGCTGCGGGATGTTTCCTCGCCACAGCTGCTAATTAGACGGGTGCCTCAGACTTAACTCTGCTGTATTATTAACCACTACACTAATACCTCTGATGTTACTCTGCTCACATTTATGTGGATCAACTTTTCTCACGTGCAACAGTAGTTTGAGTGTTTTGTGTCAAATTTTCTATTTTGATATCTGTCAAACTTTTTGAACTTTTTGTCTCCAGGAGATGATTTAGTGCACTCTACGTTTTGGCTTTTCTGGCATCAGATTGGAAATTGAGTGAATTTAGATGATAAATGACTAATAAAATGCCGTAAATCTCTACAGTATTCACAAAGTCCTGGTGATGTTTGAAGTTACTGAAACGGTTTATTTAGCATTGAATCAGAAAAGTACAGGAACGGTTTCTGCACTAGTTATTGTAAAGTTAAAGAAGCCAGATCATGAGCGCAAAGGTAGACACAATATATGATAACATACTACCGTCGGCACAAGGGCTGGGCGATGCGGCCTAAAATCAACATCACGATACATTGAGGATTTCACCTCGATAACGATAAACGGACGATAACTAAAGGGAAGTGCAGAAACAAAAGTTATCCACTAGATGGGGCTGTCACGTCTATTACGGTGAGTCACACGGTCACATGACTCAAGATGGTACATTTTCTTAAAGGGACATGAACGTTGCCAACCTACACACATCATTTCATTTTTTATGATCACATTTATTGACATGGGAAAATTTATCTCGATAAGTCAGAAATTTCGATAACGATACATTTTCGATTTATTGCCCAGCCCTAGTTAGCGCTATTGAGATGTCACTTATCCTAAATCTGAGTTATTTTCGTCAGCCTGAATTTATACCTAGAATTAAAATGCTTTGTTTCAGTGAAGCCGTGCCCACAGCAGCATCTTAGGCCAGTCTGCTGTTGTAGTGGCCTTGGGAGTCCAGCGGTCAACGCGACTGCCTTTTATCTTGTTTTGCCATGAGCTAACGCCGGTTCGACTCCTGGTGTCTGCAGTGATTTATGTAGCCAGCTGAAGCAGATTTCATGTTTTAAATTGTAGTTTAATTGATTATTTTCTGCAAAATATCTTTGTCTCTAAATTTGAATTTGGTCTACTCGGCTCACCTCACGTGGACTCACACTGGCTAAATAAACTAAGAAAGTAAATAAAGAATTGGACTAATCCTCATATTTCAAACAGTTTACCAATCCAAGGTTGAAAACATGCTACTGGCAAGTGTTGCTAAATAAAAGTTACTAGGAGTCGAACTGGCACAATCCAGTATGCCAGGGAGTTACTCTAACCACCGGGCTACAAAAGTTGTGCAACACACGTCCTGTGCTGACCATTAACGTGTGTCTTTGTGAACAGGACACACTTTTTTGTCACCAATGCAGAAGTAATTAATCAGAATATTTACTCTGATACCGGTGGAGGTTTAAAGCATTCATCTGTGACATGAAGGTCACATTCTCAACTGTAGCATGAAATCAACCACTCTACACCCGCAACTCTGAGAAAGTGGATGTTACTGGCCTACTTCCAGGGATGTAGGTTTCAGACCCCCAGAGTAGCTTCAGGGGGGAGGAGCAGGGCCTGACGACACTACGTTTCCATCGAGGCTTTTGTAGGCTTTTCCCAAAAATCAGAAAATTTGCAGCTGAGACGGGAAAATGCATGAACACAAACAGGTTTGGGGTGTTTTCCATGAAGATATAACATCACATGTTAAAAGTGGATTCTCCATGATCTAGCCCCTTGAAGTTCGTGGTAGTATCAAAGGCTCTGGTACTCCTTTACTCGTCTCAGTTAGGGCTGAATGATTAGTTGCATATGCAGTTAAATAGCAACGTGACAAAAGGAGATTTTCTAATCACAAAGGCTGCGATTTGACTGGCAGCGAGTGGTTAGCACAATGCTAATATACATTGAAAAACCCATAGGGATTCTAATGCTAATATCGCTTATAACATTCTTACAAATACCGAGTTAGGAACATGCCAAATTATTACATTTGGAGTTTAATAAAAAGTAAAAACTGCCATCAATCAAATAAGTACAGACAAATATTTTAGTAAAACCAGAAAACCATGAGAGACTTGGGGTGTTTCTCAATGTCGAGGAACCTTGCCTTGATGTCTTGGCTCCGCCCCGGTTGCCTAGGAGATACGTCATCAGGAGCCGCCAAGACGTGTTCCAATCAGTTCCAATGTTCATGTTCTACCGAGGCGTGTGTTCTCCATTTGTTAGCCGTTTAGCTAGCTGAGCAAGGACACACAGGAGATGTCTTGTAGGCTAGCCTTGGCTAAAAATTACCCACAATACACCGCTGTATTTTCAAAAGGATGGCGGATCAGAAGCCGGTAGATACTTCGGGGAAAATTTTCAAGTTTCAAAGTAAGTCAACTAATTAAAAGTTTTTTTTTTAAGATAAAAAGACGTTATCTATGGTTGGTTAGTTGCTTAGTAGTTGCAGCTTCGGTGGCT